ATGATGTTCTGCCTCCCCTTGAGCCCGGAGGAATGGAGCCAGCTGTCTATGAACTGAGACATCTGAAACCATGAGCCCACAGTTGACCAAACACATACCCCTGTATGTGTGTGTATACATATATCACAATTCACAACAGCCAAACTATGGAAGCCTAGGTGTCCATCAGTGGATGAATGGATAAAGAAAATATTCACCCATAAAGAAGAATAAATTATGTCATTTTCAAGAAAATGGATGAGGGCTCGGGATGTGGCTCAAGTGGTAGCGCACTTGCCTGGCATGCGTGAGGCACTAGGTTGGATCCTCAGCACCACATAAAAAGAAAGATATTGTGTCCATCTAAAACTAAAAAATAAATATTTACAAAGGAAAAAAGGAAAAAGGACTTGCCTTCCTGTTTAGAATCTAAAAAAATAAAAAAGAAAGAAAGAAAAGAAAATGGATGAGAACATTGTTAAGCAAAATAAGCCACACTCAGAAAGTCAAGGGTCATATGTTTTCTCTCTCATATGTGAAAGAGGAAAAAGGAAAAGAGGGGTGGTGAGAGTTTCCTAAAACTCAAAGGAAGATCATTAGAGGAAACGGGGAGAGGAAAACTGGGAAATTATTTTGGCTAAATTACATTATTATACTGTGTACATGTAGAAATATGATTTTTGTAGCCAGGCGCGGTGGCACATGCCTGTAATCCCAGCAGCTAGGAAGGTTGAGGCAAGAGGATCGCAAGTTCAAAGCCAGCCTCAGCAATTCAGCGAGGAGCAAGCAACTCAGGGAGACCCTGTCTCTAAATAAAATACAAAATAGGGCTGGGGATGTGGCTTGGTGGTTAAGTGCTCCTTAGTTCAATTCCCGGTACCAATAAATAAATAAATAAATCCCTGTTCAGAACAGAACGCTCTGTCATTTGTTCTAAGATTCATATTTTATTTAGTTTTTCTCTGGAGGAAAAAAAAATCCAAACTTCTTAACCAACACAATTTCATTCAACTGGCAGAGGCCAGAATTCAGAGCTGAGTCAGTTCATCCCTGTGAGCTGGGATGATAAATGGATGTGTCTCTCTGAAAGCTGACCTCATATCCACCTGGTACACCAACAACAGGAACATAATGCTCAGTGTCACCCCCTGCAGGAGGAAAACTTTGCCAATGGCCCAGATCTATGTGGAAACCCAATGGCACTTTGTTCACTCTCATTCAGCCAAACAAATGAACAAGATCAGCTGGTCCCATCATACTACAGTGACATGTGCGTACCCAGGTTTACAGCAGCACAATTCACAGCAGCCAAACTATGGAACCAGCCTAGGTGTCCACCAACAACGGAGGAATGGGAAAAGAAAATGCGGTATATCCACAATGGAGTTTTATTCGGCCATAAAGAAAAATGAAATTGTGTCATTTGCAAGAAAATAAATGGAACGAGAGACCATCATGTTTAAGTGAAATAAGTCATCTGTTTTCTCTCATATGTGGAAGCTAGAAAGAAAAAAGGAAAAGAAAAGTTGTGGAGGGGTTTCATGAAAATCAAAGGGAGACCAGGAGAGGAAAGAGATCAAGGGGTGGGAGATGGGATAGAGACAGGAAGTGCTGGCTAGTGATATTGGCCACATTGTACTGTGATATTGTGTGCTTGTACAAATATGCAACAAAAAAACACCTCATCACTATGTACAACTATAATGCACCAAGTTTTCTTTTAAAATGATAGAGAGAGAGAGAGGACTTATTAGGCCAAATGTCAGAACTATTAAAAAGCTACAGTCTGGCATTGGTATAAGAGACAAATAGACCAATGGAACATCTAAGTAAGTATGACATAGAAAAACAGGAACAATTTGTTCCTTATGAAAATAGTATCACACTGGGCTGAGGATGTAGCTTAGTGATAAAGCACTTGTTTAGTATTCCAAGGGCCTGGGTTCAAACCCCAGCACCTCAAAAAAAAAAAAAAAGTTTAAAAGTATTTATATTCATTATATTTCTGCGGAACAAATTCTTACAAACTTAATGGCTTATTCAATACCCACTTACCACCTCGGTTTCCATGGGTCAGAAATCCCATCAGTGGGTACCTTACAAAGTACCCAGGTCATTTGTGCACAGGACATCTCTTCACTAGAGAACTTTAATCCATTTCTGAAAGCAGCTTGGGCATTGTGCCCCAGCCTCCCACCCTCCACTTGCATTTAATCCATTTCAAAACCTATTAAGAGCTGTGAAGAATGCCCGAATGTAATGAAACACAAAATCCACTTAAGAAACACTTTTAAATGAGATGGGCCAGGTCTTGTGAAAACCAAATGGACCTCAGCTTGCCCTCCTAGTGTAACTCTTAGCAGCTTGTCTGCCCATCTGTCTGCTGGGGCCAGTTGGCCTTGACCTGGTCAGTGGAGAATCAGGAAGTGACCACACCTTCTCTATCAGCAGTGTTTGGATCACACTAAAACAGGCACTTGGTTTAGATTATTGGGCTTGTCTAAGAGGAGGGCTGGAGGCCAACCTTGGAAATCTCTGGCTCTTTCATTGCTCAGCACAGAATAGCTGGTCAGTATGACATAGGGATTTAGGATAAAGAGATATACTGAGTCCTAAAGGAAATATCTATGAGCTCTCGAGATGCACAAAGCACAGTTGTAAATCTTGAACAACAGGCCCTTGGCTCATGCCCTTGTATAATGAAGGGAATTCACAAGCCCAGGAAAAAAGGACATGAAATTGTGCAGCTCCACCCTGGCTCCACCTCCAGTTGGGTCCCCGATAAAGCCCTTCTATAAAGGCTAGATAGCGGAGTTCTCCCTTGAATCCTCCTTCCTAAATAAGCCTCTGTCTATGCCTCTCTGGCTCATGCTGAAATTCTTTTCCATCACTTCTTATGCCAAGAACCCCATTGGCCCTGAGTTCAAGTCCCCTCCCCTCTGGGAACTCCTCGGATCCTTCTCCAGAGACATCTCTTCTGTGACACCTCGACTGTTGGGTTTGTTGGTTGTTGGTTTGGGGTTTTTTGTTTGTTTGTTTTGTTGGTGCATTTTGGTAGTAGGAATTAAACCTGGGGCACTCTTATCATTGAGCTACATCCCCAGCCTTTTTAAATTTATATTATTTTATTTTTTGGTTCTGGGGATTGAACCCAGGGGTGCTTAAACATTGAGCTAAATCCCCAGTCCTTTTTATTTTATTTTATTTTTATTTTGAGACAGGATCTGAAAATTTGCTTAGGGCCTCACAAAGTTGCTGAGGCTGGCTCTGAACTTGCCATCTTCCTGCCTCAGCCTCCTGAGTCGCTGGGATTACAGATGTATATCATTGCACCTTGTTTATATTTTATTCTGAGACAGGTTCTGGTTAAGTCGTCCAGACTGACCTCAAACTTGCTGTCCTTAACCCTCCTGCTTCAGTCTCCCAAGTAATTATTCAGTCTCCCAAGTAGCTGGGATTACAGGAGTGTGCCACCATGCCCATTTTAGTTGTTGAATTTGATGGGAAAGAAAAAGATTTTATATCATATTCTAAATTCCAAGTCATACTCATTCCTGAAGTCTAACTCAGACTTTCTCTCATCAACCACGGTTCCCAGTAAATGCATCAAAATTATCTTGTCCAGCAGGGCATGATCGTACACTCCTGTAATCCCAGCGACTGGGAAGGCTGAGGCAAGAGGATCGAAAATTTGAGTCCAGTCTGGGCAACTAGGTGAGCCCCTGTCTTAAAATAAAAAGTCCTGGGAATATAGCTCAATGTCCTGGATTCAATTCCTGGTACAAAAAAAAAAAAACAAAACTTCTATATGGTGAATAAATCACCCAAAATTCTGCATATGAATAATGGCTTGAAGCATTTAGGATTTGCCTTTCTTTCCTTCCTAGTTGGAGAAGGCAGCATGCATTGTTCTATCTCCCATTTGGAGAAACAAGTTGCTTTCCTGTGGCACTTCTTAAAAACCTTACCCTGGTCCCATCCCCACATTTCAGAAAATAGGGCTGAGACTTCCAGTCCTGTCTGCCAGAGATGTGGCAGATGGACTAAGATTTAGCCAAAAGTTTATCAGCACAGGCAGATGCTGCAGAGTTTGGGAAGCTGAGATTTCTGAAAGTCCCATGTTTCGGGACCTCCTGGTGGGGGGTGGGTTTTAAGAGATGGGGGAGGGTTCGTGAAAGACAGAAAAACAAGCCTTTTACAACACAATGTTGAGAGATAAGGTAAATTCCAGGGCTGGGCCAGAACAGGCTCTCAGCTCCACATTTGGAAGCCCACATAGGGAGGACAGTATCAGCAAGTGCTTCCCAGGGCATTGGCATATAGCCTGAGAATCAAAGAAGTCAGTCCTAGTGATGAGCTCTGAGAGAGAGAGAGAAAAACAGCCCCTCACTAAATGGAGACCTGGATCTAGGAGCATGACCAGCCTGCTTGTCTTTTTAGTTTGATGAACAAAACCTCTGATGTATGCTTATATGAGATCAACTAAGAACAAACACACCATCGATTTAAATGTTACCAGATTCAAAGACCTACACCATGTGGCAGCTTCCTTGGACCCCTGTCCAGTGACACAGTTACCAGCCAGGGCTGTACATTTGGCACACATTGGTAATTCCAGCTACTTGGGAGGCTAAGGCCAGAGGATCACAAGTTCAAGGCCACCCTCAGCAACTTTGCAAGGTTCTAAGCAACTTAACAAGAGACTCTTGTTTCCAAATAAATAAATAATAAATAAATAAATAGAGCTGGGAATGTAGCTTGAACCCACCCCTGGGTTCAAGCCCCAGTGAATTTTCACTGTGAGGGACAGTGAAAATTACCAGCAGGTCACAGAAAACGAAATGCAAACATCAAGTAAACACAGGGAACCAGGCAAGTCCAAATGAAAACAAAATACTATTTTTCACATACGGAAATAGGAAGGGAAAAATGGGGTCCTCACTAGGAGCGGTGGTGTACTCCTATAATTCCAGCAACTAGGGAGCCTGAGGCAGGAGGAGCCCACATCAGCCTGGGGAACATAAGTGAGACCCTATCTCAAAATAAAAAAAGGACTGGGGGTGAAGCTCAATGGTAAAGCCCAGCCCTAATACCACCGCCCCCCCCAAAAAAAGTGTCCTCTTCTAAATCCTTCCCCATTCCTTCTTTACCATTTATTGTTTGAGTTTGCAGATTTATGTATGCAGGAATCTATCCTCTTAAAGCCGGCACAGAAACTTGTGGCAAATGTTGAATAGTTTCCCAGTTGTTATTTGTTAAATTCTCCAGTGAAAACAGCAAGTATTAACTTGTTAATGAGTTGGCCAGGGCCTGCTGGGTGGATGGCAGCCACAGTGCTTCTCAGGGGCTATCAGAAGCTGTAGGATCTGGCCTTGATGGGATTAGAGGGGCCCCAGAATTCCCTGAGCCACCTCCCCCACCCCTTCTGTACATCTGGTGGCCTGGCGAAATGGAATATTCCAAGGACTGCATCAGAAAGTGCTCCTTGGAACTTTCCCTTTCCTATCCTGTGACTGTGCAGCAGAAATGGTGTTCTTTTCATGAACCCTTTAGTTGGGATTTAATTCTATGTGTGTTCAACCAGTGAAACTAGGTCAAGCTGACTTTTTAAAGCTAAAATCTATCCTATACTCTAGATTTGTTTTCCTCCTTGAATGTTATTTTATTGCTTATAATTCATTTTTATTGGTGTATTATAATTATACAGAATAGAGGGACTCACTGTGATACATTTCTACATGCATACACGTAACAAAATCTGGCCAATTTCATTTCTTAGTATCTTCCCCGAATTTTAAAAGGACACTGAAAGTATGTCCGTTGATTATGATGCTTTTGTTGGTTTTAGATCAAATGCTGATTTTGTACTTTAAACACAGCACTCACTGTCCTTGGGCCAGCCTTGTGGCCTCAGTTCAGCTCTTTGGTGGGGTTCTTTTTTTTTGTCTTTTTTGGAACTGGGGGTCGAACCCAGGCAGGGCTTTGCGAATGCAAGGCAGAAGCTTTGCCACTGAGCTACATCCCAGCTCTCAGTTCAGCTCTTAAAGTTCCATAATAGCATCTTCAGATAAAGAAGCACCACCCAGGTATGTTCTGTTACCTGTTTTAACACAAACCGGCCCAGTCTCTGGGGAGAAAAAGACATTTAAGCTCCCAAAAGCGATTAGTTGTCTTATTCATAATCTGACATTAATAACGTCCATGTAGTTTACCTTCTTGGCACACTGGACCGAGGAGGACCGTGATGCACAGGGGCCCTACAAAATTTGCTGCAGAAAGTAATGTCTTTGAGCCTCCCGGCAGCTCCAAGGCCTTTCTTTTTGCGGAGTTGGGCCCCACCTCCGACCTCCTAGAGTTCAGGGCCAAGTTCCCCGGTTGGTGGTAGGTCCTCCACCAATCGCAGCCTGTGACCTGAAGCTCTGAAGACCTGAGGAGTTGAAGTAGCAACAGGAATTGCATTGCTAACTGTGGTTGAGGTGGAAATGTAGCTGTGTCCTGCCATTGCTGAGAAGGATCTCCACTTCCCCCAAAAAAAGTAATTTCAGTTTTAATTCTACCAAGGTCAAGTGTAAAAGTAAAAAAGGGCTCTTAGCCCTTAGGATCCTGGTATTCACCCACAGAGGCCCTGATGCTGACAGTGGTCTCAGATGCAGCCTCGGGTACAAGAGTTGGGCAAGGGCACAGGGAGATCAAGATAAAAATGCAGAGAAAACCCAGGGGGAAGGCCAAAGTGCTTCTAAAGATTTTTCTGGAGCTCTCTGCCTGGGTCCGGGCTGCACAATCCCACCGGCCAGCAAGGCTCTCCTAAGCCCAGCACCTGCATATCCCCTTCCGACCTTGGTCTTACCCCTCACCCACCTAACTCCTGAAGGCAGGGGGCACACCTTTGCTAGACCACCCGAGCTTCCCTAGGGTGGATCACGGATCTCAACGACCTTTTTGTGGAAAAACAAAGATGAAATCTACTTTCTAGAAATAAAATTTGAGAATAAAATGCAAAGGTCTTTAGACACTCCCATACGTGGTGTTTGGGTTTTTCTTAATAAAACAATGGTTCTCCATCACTTCAAGTTGGGATCAACAACTTGATAGAATAATCGAGTTGCCCCCATCCCCACCCCCCACCCCCGGGGAGGGCGGGGGGAGTAAATCTGGTATTTTTCACCGGTAACTGAGGATAACCGACCTCAGGGATGGTCACTTTCTTTTCCTTTCCTTTCTTTTCAGGCGTCTTGCAGTTCACTTCCCAGCCCTGCAGCATTAGGGCATTCTAAGGGGGCTGAGCCTCCTGCCTCCCCGCCCACCTGAGGGTCCTTTTTGCCACCTGAAGGAAGGAGGATCCCCCGGAAGTTCCTTGCTCAAGGTCAAAACATTCACTAGATTGTATTCGCTAGAATACCCTAGCTTCCAGGACATCCCGGCTCCTGCTTCTCCTAAGACCTGGGGCAAGCTTCTTTTTCATCCGGGATACTTTTTAAATTGTCATTTTTCACTTCTGAAAATTAATGTTTTTCCTTTAAGTGTTTTGGCAATGACTTTATGAGTTAAAGCCACTGCTTACATCCCCCGCCCCCTAAATTTTTAAGAGCTGTGGACTGCAGGAAGATGGAGCACTTCTCTTCCAGGTAGGAGCTAATCTTGAACTGTGGACTTGATGGCTAGAGATTGCCAGCTTAGGGAATCATTTTTCTATACCTCTCTGATTTTGTCTTAATCGAACCTTAAAAACTTTCCAACAGCCCTGCTGTTTTTCCTGAAAAAAACTGGTACTTCAGACTTACAGTCTACTTTGCCATGGGCTTTTGACATTTCTAATCATACTGCTGATGAAATGTTTTCCGACTCTTTTATAAGGAATTACCAATATGATAGCCAAATTAAAAATCTGCTTCTGAAAAGGTCAAATATATAGAGAGACTGATTTTATACTTGCAAAACTGTTAAGAACAACAGCAAAAAAAAAAAAAAATTAACCTGAAAAACTTTCCAATTACAGGTTTAATTGAAATAGTTTGTGAAATGTAATTTGATAACACAGAATATCATTTTTTAAATTCGTGTGTGTGTGTGTGTGTGTGAGCACGCGAGCGCTGAGGATTGAACCTGGGGTGCTTTACCACTGAGCAACATTACATCCCCAGCCCTTTTTACTTTTTTTGTTTTGAGACAAGGTCTCACTAAGTTGCTGGTCTTTCTTACTATGTTGCTGAAGCTGGCCTTGAACTTGTGATCCTCCTGTCTCAGCTTCCTGAGTTGCTGGGATTATATGTATGTGCCACTGTAACCAACCATTTTAAAATTTTTATATGAAAACTCTGCAAGAGAGAAAAAAAAATGTAAGTTTTGTGAAATAGATAAGATTTATTCCCTCTTTAACTCATGTGCTTGTGAGTTTAGGCCCTAAGAAATAATGAAGAGTTGGATATTGTTGATATTTCTTTGTTAGCCTGAGTTAGCTATAAATAAATAAAGAAGAAAGGTGAGATTCTGCAATTCCTCTTTAGTGGTCTGTGGTCTTGGCTCTGTGTTGAGAGGACCCAAGTGTTAATTCCAAGGGTTTTATTTGCTTTGATTTGCTAACGGGATGTCCCTATTTCCTCTTCCTAGGGTGATTTTCATCATGGCCATTTCCAACATGTTTGAACTGGGATTAGTTGCTGGTGAGAAAGCTTTTGTTCTTTTAATCACCAAACGTTTTTCCCCCTTTTTTGTAGTCCTAGGGATGGGAACCCAAGTTCTTGCGCATGCTAGGCAAGTGCTGTATCTCCAAGCACACCCCATCCTTCACTATTTTGTTCTTTTGATCACCAACTATTTCTATGTGGCCTAAAATACAGACTCCTGGATTGATTTTTATCATTAAGGGTTGGGCCACCATGAATTTGCACATGCATCTCTGGGAGACCCAGGCTTTAGAGATGGAAGCATTCAGTCCCAGGAGAAACCTGCAGTTCGTTCCCGGTCTTTCCAGTTTGTGCCATCCATAGGAATACAGGACAGTAAGAGCCACCTGCCTTAGATCACCCCTGACCTGGTCCATCTTGTGGACTTTTACCTAAGGGGGTGGGCACATGATGCTGGGTGGGTGGGTGGGTGGGTTGGGTTGGTGAGACTGGCATGGCATATTTCACTTCCCTGGTATGCAGTTTCCCTCCCCTGATTCCACTTCACACTGGGGTCCCTGAGAACCGGCACTGTCAAGTGCCCGAAAGTGATTTCCCCAGCTCAAAAGAAGAGCTAGCAAAAGGAACTGTGGAAAGCAGAGTCCCACTTGTGAGGCTGAAGGTTTTCGGACATCTGTAAACATTTGGGGGAGAAGAAGCACTGGGTTTGCAGGAAATGTCCCCAGTTTTTTCAGTCTCTCCTCTTACATTTCAGGTAAGGAGCTAAACAAAACTTGCTGTCTGAATGGGGGCACCTGCATCCTGGGGTCCTTTTGTGCCTGCCCCGCTTCCTTCTATGGACGGAATTGTGAGCATGATGTGCAAAAAGAGTAAGCTGTGAAAGGGGCAGGAAGCAGGTGCAGAGGAGAGAGAAGGAAATGTGAGAACTTAAAGTAGGCATCATCTGTTTCTTCCCAGGAACTGCGGATCGGTGTCTCATGGCGCTTGGCTGCCCAAGAAGTGTTCCCTGTGCAAATGCTGGCACGGCCAGTTCCGCTGCTTTCCTCAGGCCTTTATCTCTGGTTGTGGTAAGCGTGTTCTCTCTTTCGCCCTTTCGGGGTGCTCAGTTGCTCATGGGGTGCTTAGTTTACCTGGTGTCTTCTCCTACATCCTGGCCTGCTAGAGGCTGACAGCCAAAGTTGTGCTGATCAAAGCGTCCAATGCAGTTGTGGGCATCCAGGGCTCCAGGTGGGAGCTGCCCCAGCATCCTTGAGAGGTGCTCCCTGGGATGGCAGTCCTGCTGCCTTTCAGGAGCAGAATTCTTTCAAGTCTGAAAGAATAAAGGGCATTCAATAAATAGAACAAGGCTGTGCCTTAAACACCAGGAAGTACTACTCTCTGGTGTCCTGTCCTTTGGGAAGGAACCCAACAATCTCCAGGAAGGCCACGCAGTTAGAACCCACCTTGATGGTGAATTCCTGACAGCACTTTGACTCTGTTCTTGTCCATTAAGAACTTTTCCCTAGGTCCTTAAAGGGCCCTGGTGATGGCTCTCAGTAGCCTTCACCTTACTGATTTGAAGAAGACAATAGAAAGAAAGACAGGACCAAGAGAAAGACAGGAAGAGTGGATAGTTTCCCACCTCTGCCTGAGCTGGGTTTTTAGGGCCAACCAAGTTCAGAGGACTCTCCTAATTCTAACCTGTAAATTTTTTTTTTTTAAATGGTGCTAGGAATGGAACATGGCCTTACACATGCTAGACAAGTGTTCTACCAGTGAGGCTACACCCCCAGCATCTTGTTCTGACCTATAGATGTCAGGAATTTAATATTTCCAAGTCCTGAAAGCAAGTAAAATGTGGGACCACCCGCACAGGGATCCTATCTTTGTCATTTACATTCTGGGTGTCAGGCTGGGGTAGGTGTTCCGCAAGTGTGGGTTTATAATTGGATGAACCGGGACCATGTTTTCTTTCTAGAATCTGGGTCCCAAAATGTGCCCCCTTATCAGCACTTAACCAAATTCTATCCCATCCCTGCAAATGAAGCTGTCTCCCCTGCAGTAGGTATCAGGGGTGAGAAGTACCCAGGGAAGAGCAAATTAACAGTCAGCCTGGGGCAACTTAAAATTTTTCAGGGAGTGTGAATTTCATGTAGTCTGCGCTGCTGATCCTATAAGCACATTGATCTCGTCAAATGTTGGGCCCTGACTAATTTGTGGCTCGTGCAGATATGTCTTATGTGTGGGCAGCAGGATGAACTGCCAGAGGGATTTTCTTTAATGACCAAGTGTCTCTACCTTTCAGAGAGCCGCGTGATGGAAGAGCACCTTGCAGTTTCCAGGACTCCAGAATTAGCCCCATCTGCATGGACCACTCTCATGCTAGCTGGCCTCTGTCTTTCTATACAAAGTTACTGCTAATTGACATTTGCCTTTTTCTGGAAATATAAGTTTAGTTACATGTGAATTTCATGATTAGTAAAAACTATAATGCTCCGATGTCCTAACTAAATGTCTAATCATTTATTATTTGCCTTAAAATAATGCACATGTTTCTGTTCGGATTCCTAATACATCCTTAAAGCACCAAGTACTTTTTACCTTTGCTCTGCTGTCTCTGTAAAAGCTACTTTAAAAAATAGTAATTGTTATCCCTATTGACCTTGTACCCAAGTCTTGTGTTTCTTAATTTGTAAAGTTATTCTATAAAGTCTTATTAAAACATACTTGATTTTAAATAGTTGGATTCTACAGATTATTAAAAGCAATTCTATTGTGAAAGTGAGGGCAAAGTTTTGAATAAATTAAAGTCAATTAAGACAGTAATGTTATTTTTACCTTTTTTCTTGTTGGATACCAGGGATTGAACCCAGGGGTACTTAACCACTGAGCTACATCTCCAGCCCTTTTTATTTTTTAATTTTGAGACAGGGCCTTGCTAAATTGCCTAGAGCCTCACTAAGTTGCTGAGGCTGGCTTTGAACTTGCAACTCTCTTGTCTCAGCCTCCAGAGCCACTGGGATTACAGGCCTGTGTCACCATGCCCAGCAAGACAGTCATTTTAAATGAAAGAAAAGAAAGCCTCTCTGAGCATGATGGTGCATGCCTGTAATCCCAGCAGTTTGGGAGGCTGAGGCAGGAGGATAACGAGTTCAAAGCCAGCCTCAGCAAAATCAAGGTGCCAAGCAACTGAGCGCCACCCTGTTTCTAAATAAAATACAAAATAGGCTGGGGATGTGGCTCAGTGGCTGAGTGCCCCTGAGTTCAATCTCTAAAGTAAACAACTAAAGAAAACAAAGCATCTTTAAGGAAAGGCAATGGAGGTCAAGAGAGGCAAGCACTGGAGAGATAGAAGTGGTGTGTGTGCCAAGGAGAAAGAGGAAGTAAAGGGGAGCGATGGACTGGAATAAAGCAAATGATTACTTGATTGATGTTTAGATGGTTGTAGAGAAGCAGTTAAAAAGCTCAATTGCAGGGCCGAGGTTGTAGCTCAGTGGTAGAGCACTTGCCTGGCACATATGAGGCTCTGGGTTCAATTCTCAGCACCCCATATAAATAAATTTTAAAAGTAAACGTATTATGTCCATCCACAACTAAAAATATTAAAAAAGAAAAAAAAGCTCAATTGCAGGGCCAGTTCCCGTCATCTATAGAAAGCTACATAAGACAAGGATCCTCTACTATCTCAAGGTATTAAAAAAAGAGAATGAAGTCTCCTTGGAGGGTAAAAATTGTATCTAAATTTTCCCAACAAGATTGCTTAAGCCGGGTGCAGTGGTGCGCGCCTGTAATCCCAGTGGCTTGGGAGGCTAAGGCAGGAGGATTGTGAGTTCAAAACCAGCTTCAGCAAAAGTGAGGCACTAAGCAACTCAGATAGATCCTGTCTCTAAATAAAATATGAAAAAGGGCTTGGGATGTGGTTCAGTGGCTGAATGCCCCTGAGTTCATTCCCTGCTACTAAAAAGAAAAAAGAAAACAAAAGATTGTTTTAATTTTGTTTTCTCCAAACTATGCAATTATTTTAACAGTTGCAGAAGAAAATGTTCATAATATATTTAGACATAAACCATAAAACTATGATAAAACCCATTTTTGTAATACATTCAGTTTATAAATATGCACAGTAAAAAATGGGAACACTATTGACCAAAATGGGAACCTTAGTTATTTCTAGGTGGTGAGATAAATGGTGCTTTGTGGGGGGTGGATTTTTTTCCTTTGTGCGCTTTTGTGTTTTCCAACGTGAGGATGCATTCTGTTTTCATATGGAATGTGCTGGCTTGAAACTGAGGAAGCCACAAGAGCCACAAGCTCCAAGCAGATGCCCACTTTTTGTTTCCCTCTATGGTGGAATGTTTCCCTCTAGTGTGCGCTGCTCTGGGGGACAAGATTTGCTTTCATCATTTAGGTACTGCTTGATCCACAAATTGTGTTTTTCCAAAATAATCCTCTGCTGTTGCAAAATTGCAAACCGGTGGAATTTTTTCAGTGCCCAGTGGAAAGCAAGCAAAATGGGATAAGCATGGAGGGAGAGTGGCTTGGAGGCTGGTGACAGTGGGACCATGTCCTACTGTGGATTTGGGTAATGACTACATCACAATATTGGAATTAAATGAAGTAAAGCAAATGTAACAACTGCACAAAATAGGACCTCAGCAAATCTCATATTTTCAATCTGAAAAAAAAATTTTATTGGGGCCATAAATGGAATTATTTTTTGTTTGTTTTTTAAAGAGTATTAGAAAGTAAGCCTGGTGAGGTGGCACACACTGAGGCAGGAGGTGCAGAGGCTGAGGTAGGAGGATAGGAAGTTCAAGGCCATCCTTAAGTGTCCCCTTGGACCATTTAGACAGAACCCGAGTCAAAAAAAAAAAAAAAAGGGACTGGGGATATAGCTTGGTAGCTCAGTAGTAAGAACTTTCCTGGGATCTCAATTCCCATTACAAAAAAAATGGTTTTCTTATTTGTCATTTGCATGGAAATAATAGCTGCATGGTAGGTGAGGATGAAGAGTGTTTTCAAACTTGAACATTCACATGCCACCTTGATGATTTGGGGCCACATCATTGTACATTTTTCTTTTTACATCAAGTTGTTTTTTTATTGTGATAAAGAATACTTACCCTTTGGTCATTTTTAAGTGTACAGTTCAGTGGCATTAAGAATAGTCACCACCATCATCTCCAGAACTTTCTTATCACCCCAAACTATAACTCTGCACCCGTTAAACTCCCCAGTCATCTTCTCCCAGCCACCTCTATTATGCCTGAATTTGACTATTTTAGAAACCACAGGTGGAGTTGCCGCAGTCTGGCTGGGCACAAAATAACCGAGCCACCACAAAAACTTGTAGATTCCAACAGCAACTCTTTATTCCTGAACTCTCACCGGCACTCTACATGCATGTTCTGGGGGAAATTCACCTCCACCGGGCTCTGCATCCCAAATACTCTCTGAATCCTGGAGAATTCAACGGGAACTCAAGGAGTGGGCGCCTGACGCAGCAGGATATGCCCTATTCCCAGCAGGATCCACCTTAAACCTGGAACCGCCCTAAACCCGGATCTGCCCTAAACCCGGATCCGCCCTAATCCCTGAGCAAGGTCACCTTTCATGCAATGTCACTGCAAATGACCTGGGTCCAAGGCAAGCCCATTTCCACAATGGAGAGTCCTCCCTCTAAGCAACATTGGGTAGGCTGACAAGGAAATTGCCATGCGTCATTCCTACTTGGCTATGGCTCTCAGCATGGAGTCACATGAATTTGTGCCTTTCTATGTGGCTTATTTCATTTAGCATATCTATAAGGTTTGTGTTGCAGCATGTGCCTGACACATTCCACAGCGATCATGCTGCTATAGACATTGGTGGGCAAATATCTGTTCTGATTCCTGCTTTCAATTCTGGGTCATATGCTGGGTCATATGGCAACGTATCCTTAATCCAAAAATTCGAGTTCCAAAATCTGACATTTTTGAGTGTCAACATGGCACAAGTGAAAAACCCAGTCACTTTCAGGAATGTGTGTATGAAATAGTCAATGTTTGCACTTGGCTCCCATCCCCGAGAGAACTAGTTACACTTACACACATCTCTGGAACTTGCCCTGTTTAATTCAAAACACTTGCTGACTGCCAACTGTTCCTTTCTGGCTAGGGGAATTTAGATAACTTTCTGAGATGTCTGTAATCACATGTAATTAACCTTATACTTGGGAAATCAAAATGGGGGTGGGTACCAGGAATTGAACCTAGAGACACTTAACCACTGAGCCACATTTAAATTTTTTTTTTTTTTTTTTTTTTTTTTAGAGACAGGGTCTCACTGAGTTGCTTAGGGGTTCTCTAAGTTGCTGAGGAGGGCTTTGAACTCATGATCTTCCTGTAAAAGGGGTCCGGCAGAGCATTGGAGGGAGAGACTACACAAGAGACTTACTCCATGTAATTGGCAAAAGGGGATTTATTGGGGATCCATTCCAGCGCGCCGGGGCTCCGTGCTCACTCAAGAAGGGAGAGCAGCCCAGAGCCCAGAGCAGAGGTCAAGCAGAGCTTAAGTACACTTTCTGGAGAGGGTGGTGGGTTTGCATACATCAGAACAAATCATCATGAGGCGCGGGAAAATTGAACAACAACTCTGAGACGTGATTAGCACATTCATTGGCGGGAACAGGTCAGGCGGGGGTGATTGGTCATTCCTAAGCGGGTTACACATTCAAACTGATTGGTTCGGGCCCTGTGACAAACTGCACAGGGCCCTAGGCTGAGTGGCCAGTAGGGCGTTGTTTTAACTATCTCAGGAATCTGGGTGTAACAGAGGAACTTAATAATACCTAATCTTTTATATTCAAGCTTTCCAGCTTAGAAACTTTACCCTTTCACTCCTACCTCAGCCTCCCAAGCTGCTGGGATTACAGGTGTGCACCTCCACACCCAGCTGGAAATTAAGTTTTTACAAATAAAGACAAGAATTATGAGGACAATCCTTGTGAAATTTATGGAAGCTTTCATGGGAAAAGGATGAATTAGCCTGGACCAACTATGGAATTACAAAAAAAAAAAAGGGAAAAAAGTAAGAGGAGTGGCTAGATGTAGATATTTCTACTTCATTGAACATTCCAACAAGTTTTACTATGATGATATCAATAAATACAAGAAAAGCAAGAGGGAACACTGTACCAGGGTAAATGATTGCTGTGGGCTGTGTGGCAGAGGAGGTTCCTGGGAGCCACTGGAGACTGCAAGGCGATCTCCTGAGTGCTCTGGAGAAACAGCGGTAGCAGGCAAGGGACAAACTGCAATGCAACTTTAAAAGTAAAAACGCCAGGAAGCAACAGTAACCTCTGCTTATGCCTCGGGAAGCTAGAGTGGCCCTTCAGATTTTTCTCCAGTTCAGTCAAAGGACCTGACCTTTGCGCTCCCACTTGCACCGTCATTTCACCCACTGCCTAGGGAGAGTGTGTCCTTAGTGAGAGGCTCCCTTACAATCAAAGCAACCAACAGCCCCAGTCTCTGGAGCTAGTGCCTCAATCTGGAGGGGAAATCCGCAATCCCATCATAGCCTCCTCTTTGCTGTTGATTCCACCTCCTTTAAGATCCTGATTGGCCGACTTTCCCTGGCAAACACAAGATTTGTGGGACCGACTAAGTTCCCTTCAGCTGCTGCTAATCTCGGGGTACAACCCATCTGATCTCCACAAACCTCCTCCCATTTGGCAGTCCCTCACTTGGAACCAGCAGCC